AAGTAACTAGGATCTTATTTTCTACTTATTGGATTGTATGAATTTATCAAACAAATAGCAAGCACATATTTATACGATTACACAACATGTAATTTATGATTTAATTACTTACGACAACATAGCAAACCGGTGGTAATTGTCCTTTCACACCATTGAATGTGGCCACTAGTGTGAGGAACGGTAGTATACATAACAGGAATCTACCGGGACCTGAGTCCACAGATATCCAACCGGAACAGTAGGCTATAAATACTATCAAAGTTGTCGGGTAGAAAAACTGTACGCTAAATATAGTTATGTGTCGATTAAATAGATACTGGACCATTAGGTACGAGTAGATCACTATATGTTATGACAAAAGTTATAATTAAATTGATTGTTAATTATTTGCATAAAACAAATGAATACCTCCATTGGGCGCCGACTCATTAAACTGATGGCTAGTATATATTAACTTGTAGTTTGGCCTTATTATGACCGGTGGTGGGGAACTGTCATCCAAATTATTTGATAGCCACTCGTATTGTATTGCATTGATAGGATAGTTGACTAAAAATATAGATATTTTTCAATTAATGAAATTATACTAAAATACTGTATTAATACAGTATTATGTAATAAAGGTTTTAAAATCAAAATGATGACTTAATGTCTTTTAAAGCTTGTGTTTAATTTATGGCAAATCACTCACAACTTCTCATTTTAAGACTACAGACTTGGGTGTCGAAAGGGTATGCATGCAAATCCAGTGGACAGCCTATTGTTGCCATTTCTCTATTATAATAAAGTTTTAAAACTAATTGAATTTTAAAATAAGAGTATTTCTAACCTTTTATATAGTTTAAGAAAACAAAATCCATTTGTGTTTACATTCAGCGCAATGATCGGCTCAGTGACCACAGACATAGCCCGGACCCCTTCCGGTATGAGGTCCGGTAGCCATATATACTTAGCAATACCTTTCCCAGTAATTAGTATTGGTTTTGCAAAATCAGTTTTATTTGTTGAAAACTTGTCGATAGCTTTGAGACAATAGTTTGCACTGAGTTTCCATTGAAATTCAATGAAGTAGTCTACTGTGAACTCCTGTAGGTATACTTAAATGAGCTCGGCATTCAACAAGATAAAACCTTTATTAGAAATAATTTACCTCTTTTACTAAATTAATAACACTTAAGTCTTTAGCCTTAAATGTTGTGTCAATAATTAATGGATGATTTTCTAGGTAATTTAAAAACATGAAATTACTATAATTTTTATAAGTTTTAAAATATGGTAAATAAATGTAATTACTTTCGGGTAATTCAGGGGACACACCATTGTCGACGACAAACACATTTGAAACTAATTGCGATTTTATTAATTGAAATGATATCATGAAAAATGTTATATAAAGGTACATTATTTTTTATCAAATACAAATATTATTAATAGTATCTAAATATTTAACTCAACTTAAAACATATTACAAAAGTGATAATTGTTTCATTGATAACATCACAAAACAAAGTGAAAATTAATTTGCAGACAATTATTAAAAATTCAGTGATTAGTCAGCACTAGGAGGTGATACAATATTTTGAATATATATACAGTATATAAATTATTTGTCACTATCTACCAATAGTTATTGTCAGTTTTTGTAATTAATTAATTTTTAATATGTATATAACAATGTTAACTTTATTACTAATAAACAGTTAACACAATACTAAATGATTTTCTATTTTGATTACAATAAATATTTTAAAAATTGTTTTATAATAGTATTTAGTATTTTATTACGTGTTAACCCAACAGAAAATAATTTAATTAATTATAATCTATAATAAAATCGTGACTTTAAATAACAAAAATATTTAATACTTTTATGAAATCTTTAATTGATTAAATCTATTATATCGCATTTAATATAATCAA